CACACACACACACACACACACACACAGACTCAGCTGTAACAGGTGAGTTGTCATGACAACCCCCCCTCCTATCAGTCCTGATGATGGATCATCCTGAAGACCCGCCCCCTCTGATAACCAGCTGATAACAATCTGTCCTTACTACAATACCCACAATCCCCTGCAGGCAGGTGAGACCTGAGCTCAGATAACACACACACACACACACACACACACAGACTCAGTGAGGTTATACAACCGAAGCTGCAGGTGAACTCACAGAATCAGTGTGTGTGTGTGTGTCAGTCTGAGTGCTCTTGAACAGCTATCTTCGTGAGGACCAGTTTGATCCAACACAACCTGCAGAGTGAGGACAAAATGTCTGGTCCTCACTTTGTGACCCCCCTTTAATGGACTGTTTGAGGGTTAGAATGAGGTTTAGGTTAGAATAGGTTAAAGTTAGGGAATGATTATGTCAATGAGTGTCCTCACGAAGATAGAAGTACAAACGTGTGTGTGTGTGTGTGTAAGAGGAGATCCAGACATGTTTCACATTTCATTTTATTTTTACTTTCAGTTTGTATCAGCAGCTGAAAATAAATGAACCTGCAGCTGCTCACACACCAACACACACTTTGCTACACACTACCACACAACACTCTCTTAACACTCCACACACTGTGCACATGTACTACACAGTACAGTGTTGTGAGTATTAAACTGTATCCAGACACAATAAGATCAAGTTTGAATATAATTATATATTCTAATTATGCGACAGTCTGCAGTGTTATTCACTGTGTTCAGACACCGGGGGCGCTGTCGAGTTTTCTCACCTGGTCATACGTCCACACTGCGCTGGCCAGTTCAATGCAGAAGATCACCAACAGACTGCACAGGTACTGAAACACACACTCAGGCTCCAGATGATGTGATACATGTGGAAAGTAATTTGATGTGATGCACTGTAATGTGATACAACATCATGTTTTTAATACCCTGATGTTTTCCCATCATGCTCTCTGGGTGTCCTGATAGCTCGTCTTTCAGGGACGGACCAAGGAGACGAACTCCTCCAATACATACACACACCTGGTACCAGGCCCCGCCCCCCCAGGTGACATGGATCACACTCAGCCCTGATGTCCTGGCGACAGTGACGTGTGTGTGTGTGTGTGTGTGTGTGTAACGACAGGTGAGACATACCCAGGAGAGCAGCAGCAGGTTACACCTGAGTGTTCCACAGTATCCCACCATCGCCACAATGACGAGGAAGCAGCACACGGCGATGATGACGGGATGAACAGCTGGAGAGTATGTGAGGATGGCCGCTTCCTCCAACCTGCACACACGTATGTGTCAGACTAACGTGTCAGACTAACGTGTCAGGCTAACGTAACGCCTCAGACTAACGTGTCAGGCTAACGTGTCAGGCTAACGTGTCAGGCTAACGTGTCAGGCTAACGTGTCAAACTAACGCCTCAGACTAACGTGTCAGACTAACGTGTCAGACTAACGTGTCAAACTAACACCTCAGACTAACGTGTCAGGCTAACGTGTCAGACTAACGTCTCAGACTAACGTGTCAGACTAACGTCTCAGACTAACGTGTCAGACTAACGTCTCAGACTAACGTCTCAGACTAACGTGTCAGGCTAACGTGTCAGACTAACGTCTCAGACTAACGTCTCAGACTAACGTGTCAGACTAACGTGTCAGACTAACGTGTCAGGCTAACGTGTCAGGCTTACGTGTCAGACTAACGCCTCAGGCTAACGTGTCAGACTAACGTCTCAGACTAACGTGTCAGGCTAACGTGTAAGATGCAAATGCACACAGCAACAGACGGTACAGTAGTACTAGTAACTTTCTACCACTGGAGCAGTGACATGTGTTTATGATGCGTCACTGTTTCCCTGAACTCACCTGGTGTGAGCCGTCAGCGTCAGGACGGCGTTCAGAGAGTCTCTGATCCACGCTGCCACTCCCAACACACACACTGACATCAGCTGAACACACACAAATAAACACACAGATATAAACAGATCAGTTTCTGCTGCCTACAAATAACATGTCGGAATGTGAGACATGTTCGCACACACACACACACACACACACACACACACACACACACACACACACACACAGCCTGCTCTCACTTCAAACTTTAAATCAACTTCACTTTAAAGCAGCAGTTTGATTAAAATTAGTTTCCTCTTTTATTCTCAGTCCTCAGCCGGGGATCATGGGTAATATCCAGTGTTCAGGTGTGTTTCAGGTGAGCAGAACTGTTGTCAGGGTGTGAATACAGATATAAATATTATAAATCCAATATGGATATATCATTTAATCAGGTTTATCTTCAGGGGAGACGTGGGGCTTGCATCAGGCTCAGGCGCGCTCTAAGTCCGAGCTATACTTGACTTTACGACTTCTGTTCAACACATGGATAGACTTTGTTTTTTTGTTGTTACATAGAGTAGATTTCATTAATGCAAACTGTAAAGTGACTTTGACCTTTGACCCTTTGGATCTCTTTGATATGAAGTTCAGTCATCACATGTAAAGATAAACATGTTTGTTCTTTCACTTGTACAATGTCCTGGGCGGCTGTGGCTGAGGGAGTAGAGCAGTTGTCCTCCAACCAGAAGGTCAGGAGGTGAAATCCCAGCCCATGCCGAAGTGTCCCTGGGCAAGATGCTGAACCTCCCTAAAAAATGGCCCCTCATAGCTGATGATGCACTAATTGTAAGTCAGCTAAATGACATGTGATGACATGTGATGACATATAACAGCTGGAATCAGACTCAGTCACATGTTAAACTGATGACATGTGAATTCAATTCACATGTGACTGATCTGACAAACATGTAAATAAAGATGATGACGTAAGAGATGATTAGATGAGCACATACCATAATACAGCCATAATAATGATGAAGATGATGTTAGTAGAGTGGTGATGATGAAGATGAAAGTCTCACCCAGAAGAGAACGTTGAGTGCGTACAGCAGACACCTCAGACATTTCACCGCGTCCTCACGAGCCATCCCAACCGTAGCTCGTGCACGCCGCTCATCTGAGCCCGGGTCACCATGGCAACATGCTTCTCAGGCTCGAGCCTCGTGCTCTGGTTTTTCCGTTAGAGGAAACTTTAACGACAGGTGGTTCACCAATCACTCAGCACCAAACTCACACCTGGTTCTGGACTGATCTAGATTCTGCAGAACCACAGAACTACACTCACCTCAGACCAGGACCAGAACCAAAGTCCAGGCAGAGACAGAGACCAGGACCAGACATAGACCAGAGTCCAGCTGATGTAAATCCTCAGTGACCTGCTGTAAAACCAAATCTGTGTCACTGAGGACTGAGACAGTGACCTGAAGCAGAAACTGCAACTGTTTAACTTTTCAACTGTCTCCTGCTGCTTCTTCTTCTTTCCTCGTCACTAATTAAACTCTCTGAGCAGCAGCTCCTCTCTCTGTCTCTCTCTCTGTCTCTCTCTCTCTGTGTCCTCCCTCCCTCTCTGGTCCTGGGGGAGGACAGAGGAATGTGTCCGCCTCCAGCCTCAGACTCGGGGTCACAGACGTCATGAGGCTGAGGACAGGACGCAGACACGTGGAGGCCTCTGGTGGCTGCAGGGACTATTGTCCAAATATTTTTGGCCATATAGTCAATGTAATCTATCAAATGTATGACGTGTGGTCACAGAAAATTGTCTCGTTAAAATAAAAATCTGTCTGACTCATAGTATAAGATTGAATAGTTCATTTAAATGAATTTACCTGAACACAAGCCACACCCACACACAAACTCTTCATTGTTTTGTTGCAGTCAAACAGGAGAATGAATAAAAGAATAACCTCAATCATCTTCATCATTTTGTGTTTTAACTGATCTGAGGTTAAAGAAGATTTTTATTCCTCAGGATAAAATCATTAAAACCACCACAGGTTTTTATGCTTCTGATGTAACGTCATCAAAACAAACAAATCATCTTTTAGTATAAAGTTCAGCATTATGATGTTTCATCATACAATATACATAATATATATTTCATACCCTGGTGAGTTTCTGTTCATTGAGCAGAACATGTGACATTAACACGTATAAATATCTGATTATAACCATTTTCCAATTATTTTAATAATTCGTTTTGAACTCCAACTCCCATGAAGCATCTGTTCTGGAGACGTACGTCAACGACCGTGTGCGTTTAAACCAATCAGAAGACAGCGCCCCGCTGACGTCAGCAGGTGTGACCTCAGTGTTTTTCTCAGAGACGCAGCGGCTGACGGCGCCATATTGGAAGAAAAGAATTGTTCCCTAAAACGCGTGAAACCTCGGATTTGGCGCCATGTTGTACCTGGAGGATTACCTGGAGAGTGAGTATGGGACCAGGACTCTGCGGTGGGGGGGCTGTTTGTGCGTTTTCTGCGTTTAATGTGCGGTGTTTTCCGGCCTGTGCCGCCCCGGCCGTTAGCATAGCAGCATTAGCACGTAACGGCTTGTTCTTCTCCTGGCAGTGATCGAGCAGCTTCCCATGGATCTCCGCGACAGGTTTACGGAAATGAGGGAGATGGACCTGCAGGTTCAGAGTATGTTACACAAAGTACACACAGAACACACACAATGCTCACACACATTAAACACATACAGAACACACACAATGTATACACACACACACACAGTGCATAGAGAGACACACACAGTACACACACAGTACACATACAGTATACACACTGTACACACAGACAGTACACATAATGTACATACACAGTGCATAGAGAGACACATACGGTATACACACTGTACACACAATGTACACACACACAGTACATGCAGTATACACACACTGTACATGCAGTATACACACACACTGCACATACAGTATACACACACTGTACATATAGTATACACACA